ATATGATATTGGTTACACAAAGTTGATCTACAATCTATTTTATATGAATTTGGAAATAGTTACACCCTACCCTTAAAGGATCTAATTTTCAAAATAACGCCAATGAGCGTTATTTCGCGCTTATATAGTAATTTATTAAATGAAATTCGTTCTAAGCTGAAATTCTCTGATGCAATCATTAATATTTTCACTTTACTTGCCAGGATCATATATCAAACACCATACTTTAAACGTGTTGTCTTTATTACAATGTATACTTTTGCTGCTATTTAATAATTGTCAAATATTATATCATTAAAATACTCACTAACTGAATAGAATGGTAGTCTGAAATTATGTGCACTTTATTATTATAGGGAAAGTGCATGAGAAGTTCACTTATAGAGAGTATACATATAGAGTGTCGACTGTATATCATTTATCGCCGAAAACATATATGTTATTTTTGAAGAAACCGATTTTCAAAATAACGCCTATGAGCGCTTATATGGATGGTAATTTATTGAATAAAATTCGTTTAATTACATTTCTCATAGTTCTAAGCTGAAATTCTCTAATGCAATAATTAATATTCTCATTTTGCTTGCCAGAATCACATGTCAAACACTATACATTAAACATGTTGTCTTTATTACAATGTATACTTTTGCCATATTCAGGCTGCAATTTAATTAGTGTATTAGTAAATAAGTGTTTGTAAACATGAATCTCTTTTTTAATCCACCAATTATTATCATTTTTATACTAAGTACTTGTGAAATTTTTGCTGGGTAGCTAAAATTCTAATGTTTGCATCTCTTTAGTATTTATACAGTGTTACATCTAAATTGACTATGAACGCCAGTATAGTTCAGGAATGGTTTGGACGATTTATAAGAATATTTCTTTATTATGAGAAGGGTCAAAAGGCATTTGACTTCTAATCTTTATTAAAGGTTTTAAGACTTTCTTTAAATACATAATTTCAGATAAGGATTTACAAATTCATATTAATGCTAACAGATCCTAAATGAATATATTAATATTTTCATACTAAATTAATAATCAGCTTTATATCGTAACGAGATCAATCAAACCTATGATACATAGTATATACTCACAACTATACACAGCACTGAGGAGGTACTATACTGGGTACTTTATGTAGCGCTATACGGTAACTTCAACGGTCGGGAGGGTAAAGTGGCGGATCGATAGATCTTGTTAAGAGTATTTGTGTGAGTATTTGCAATCTATCGATCAGAGTTAAATGTTTTATGCACTATTCGATTCATCTTGGTAAGATGAATCGAATGATATAAGAATTATTAAATTGTGTGTAAACTTTAATTCACCATTTTACCTATCTTCATCAATTACCTCTCTTATAGCTTGTAGCTCTCTAAATAATACTTTTGTATAAGGGATGTTAAGTAACCCAGAACTAGTTAAAAACTAGTTCACCCTTTATCAAAAACATGCCCTAGCAGTTTAATATAGATTTTATAATACTTTTTATTATAAGCTTTACCATTATTAAACGAAAGTTGGCACTTAACTAATTTTAACTTCTCAATTAACGAATTTTTTTCAAGTACCACCACTCAGAACGTATTGTTATTTAATTTACAATATAAAATTTAGATGAGATAAAATGCATTTCATGCGCATTAAGCATGCATGAAACCCATATCTAGTCCAGACCCGGTCTGAACCAGCTCTCTATGGATTAGTCAATATCCCTTATAGCTATAACTAGTTTAAGGCATATATATGTTTAATGCAGGGTGTGTAAAAAACTTGTCTTAAATTCTTATTGAATACGTTATTTGTTTACTTCAGGTTCGGTTATTGTTTTCTATACAAGGGAATTGACATTTTTATTATTTGGTTAAATCAATGTAGGGTACTATACAAAAACAAGTACGTACCAAAATCAAGAAATAAAAATTACATTAATATTGTCTTGCTCATGTGATTTATCATCCGTCACAAACAGAAAACTTTTAATTCTTTAGCCTGTTATCTAATTACTTCTATCTTTCATCTCTTTTATATAGTACTTTCCCAGTACAATTTATGGTATCTTTTTTGTAGTATTCTTTATTTAGCGTAGTTGCTTTTTTTGATTTAGAAGCCCTTTTGTATCTGTAAATCCATATGATAGTTTGGCTGTGTAAATAAATTTAAACATTGATAAAAAACTCAAATATTTGAAATTGTTGATCAAATAAATCGAATATTTGATTTTTATTCGAAATTGTTGATTAAATAAATTCAAATATTTGATTTTTATTTGAAATTGTTGATCAAATAAATCAAATATTTGATTTTTATTTGAAATTGTTGATCAAATAAATCAAATATTTGATTTTTATTTGAAATTGTTAATCAAATATATTCAAATATTTGATTTTTATTCGAAATTGTTAATCAAATAAATTCGAATATATTGAAGTTATCATCAATGAATTTTGAGAATCTCATGAATCTTGCATGTTGCCATTGTTAAAACAATGGTAACATGCAGAATTCAAAAGTAATTGAATTTGAAATTCACGATCAAATATTTGAAATTAGCGATTAAATATTTGAAATTATTAATCAAATACTTAGGTTTTCTGTACTTATAAACTAATTAAATTTACTCTTTAATGTGATAAAATGGATGAAAATAATTGTTTTAATGATAATTATTATTTACCAATGAGCAACAATTATTTTGGCAGCAAACCTTTTAATACACCTAATATAAATGAATCTTTTATATCAGAAATATCAAATACTATGTCCGAAGTATCAAATGTTACTGAAATATCAGATACGATATCCGAAACTTCAAATAATTTTGATATTATAGATGAAACATCTAATGCTTCTAGTTCTTTACAGTCTGACGTTTGGAAATTTTTTGATAAAGAAAAAAAAGATAAAACCGTTACTGCGAAATGCAAACATTGTCCAAATGTTAGATATTCTATCATTAAAGATGCTACAACAAATCTTTGAACACATGTTAAAAGAGTACACTTATCTCTTCTTGGAATGCCAACATCTCAATATACTTTAGATCGTTACAGATCTAATAATAACAATAATAAGATTTCTAAAGTATAAAATTTATATATATATATATTTATCATAACTAAGGATATTTTTATTTCTATTCTAATTCTTAAATTTTTTTATTAATTAATTAATATAGGTTACTCAAGATAATTTACGGTCATGGATTATGGAATGGATTGTTCTCGAAGACCTTTTTTTTACAATAGTGGAAGGTTGAATTAAAAGTATAATTGAAAAAATATCAAAATTTCACATTGTATCTGCAGATACAATTAAACGTAATATAATAAAAAAATATAAAGAAATGCAAACTAATGTCCAAATAGAATTACAAGTAATTCTATGAAAATTTGCAGTTTCTTTAGATATGTGGACTTCGACTGCAGTTAAGGCTTATATGGGAATTATAGCTCATTATATAGATAAAGATTGGCAGCTCCAACAAAAAACTTTAGATTTTGTTGAAGTAGAAGGTTCTCATACAGGCGCAAATCTTGCAAATGAAGTAATTAATGTTTTAGAATTTTATCAAATTGAATCTAAGGTATATTTTTATTAATTTAATTTATCGAGTTTACTAAATCATATAGTGGTGTTCAAACACCACAAGTGCTATATCTCAAAAGCTAACTAAGTAATTAGTGCCAAGTATTCAAAAACTTTAAATTTTACATTTAACTCTAACCTTTACCTTAAATTTTACTAGTGAAACTATTAAAAAATATATATGATGCTAAACACCAATAGTGTGATTTAATGTTATTGTAATTCGGTAAAATTAATAAAATTAATTAATTTATAGATTAATGGAATTACTTCAGACAATGCACCTAATAATGATACAATGATTGATCATCTCGAATCATGGGCGATTAACAAAAATATTAATTTTTTTTCTAGTAATCACTTCCATTGCTTTGCACATATCGTAAATCTTTCTGTTCAAATTGCTTTAAAGAAGCTAAAAGATGAAACTGAAAAAATTCGAAATCTTATTACTAAATCCCGCTTATCTCCACAACGACACAAGAAATTTTTAGAAATTGCAAATTTAAATAATATTAATTTGTTATCTATTCTTGATGTTTTAATTTATTGGAATAGTACATACATGATGATTCAATGAGCTTTAAGTTTAAAAGTGGTTTGTTTTTATTTGCTATTTTATTTATATAAAATAATATTCGCCTGGGTAAGGAATAAAATATTTACAAATAAATTTATTTATTATTTTTTATAATAGGTTTTTGACAAGATTTTATTAATTGAAGAATTTTTAGATCTAAGTGATTTTAAACTTAGTTAATCTGAATAGATATCTCTTAAAAATATTGTATTATTTTTAAAACGATTCACTAAACTTTCTACTAAAATGTGTTCTTCTACATATTTGACAATTAGTGCAGCATATTCTATATATAATTATCTTATGGATCATTATGAAAAAAGAATAAATGATCAAGCCTGCGATAAAATATCAGATGTGGCAAAAGCAGCATGGAAAAAGCTTCAAGAATATTATAATAAAACTTTGGAATCTTATCATTATATTTTCACAATTCTTGATCCCCGTTGGAAGATTAAATATTTTCAAACTTGGGCTAATGATAATTATGATCAAGTTTATTATAAAGATGCGAAAAATTTGTAAATTGAAATTTATTTATTTATTTATTTATAATTTTTTTTATAATTAATTATTTACTTATTTATTTTATTTAGTTTTACTAAACAATTTGACGAGTATCGTTCTTTATATTTTCCAATTTCATCATCTGTAAGTAATAATTTACAAAATGAAGACGATAACGAGGATTCATTATTTCCTGTTCCAAAGCATTTTCGTAATCATAATGGTCATAATGAACTTAATACATATTTGAATAGTTCTTTAAAACCTAGTGAAATTAATGTATTAGATTGGTGGAGAACTCATGAAAAACAATATCCTATATTGGCAATAATGGCCTGTGATTATTTATCGATACCTGCTACTAGTGCTCCTGTAAAGCGGTTATTTAGTGAAAGTGGAAATGTAATTACTCCTGAAAGAAATAAGCTTGAAAGTGGTACAATATAGGTGATTATGTGCCTTAAAAGTTGGTTATAATTTTGTATTATACCTAGATTTCTATTTTATGTATAAATATATTTTTATATAGTTATACGTATATATAATACATGTGATAATCAACGTATATTTTATTGTTATAATAAGCAGTAGAATTATTATAAAAGAAATATTATAAAGTAAAATTTTAAAAGAAAAAATTTTTGTTAGGGTACAAAAGTCGATTTGTTATGTAAATTTTTGGGATATGAACAGTTTTTAAAAATGAATTTTTGTTTGAATCATTGGTTGATTATTACATGTGCGTATCATATTTTTATGTATATATGTATCATACTTATTATTTTATCAAGTAAAATCCGAATAAGCAATAAAATTGTGGTCACATACGAACATATGATAATATGGCATAATTCGCCATTTTTATCTTTGTTTTTTATGAAGTATATAGTGAATACATAGTTGGAGTTAAAGTAATCTATATATGTCTTACATCAGAATGGAATTATTGTAGATTTAGATTGATTCTGAATAAATATAGATTGTAATACGTAGAATTCTAAAATGTGCCTAAGAATTCCACAACAAAATTATGTGTTTCAAATTATTTCATCAATTAGTTAAATTTAATAGCATGATATGAAACTTTTGCATATGGACATCAAGTATTTAAAGCAACTATACTACTAGAATTGGTTTGTAGTCAATATATAATTAAAGAATAACACGTGTACTTCATGTAATTATTACAGCTGGAAAATATAGTTCGAGAATTGGCATCAGAATTACATTAGCGACTCAGGATTTTGCATTTCTTTTAACTCGCTATAGGCTAAAGAAACTCAAATCTGTAATTGAGAAAATATATTAGAGTTGCTCAACACTAAAATGTACTTCTTAAATGACTCAAATTATATTGCCAACTTAATTTTATTAACCAATCTTTTGATAATCCTTTTAAACTTTATACTACTATAACAATATAATCTCGCAGAATATAGCATAACAATTAATAAGTTATAGAATAAAAACAACGATATAGATAATACTTATCCTGTGAACGATGATCTTCTGAATCTTCTGATGAAGGCATAATTATCAATGGATAAATGAAACACTACTATAGTCAGTAAACTAATGGAAGAGCAAGACTTAAACCAAGAAATCAATGAGGTAATAGATAGCTATAACCTACCCATAAGTATTGATTATAATCACATTGTCGCACAAATTGATAACCTTATGGAAACGTTATTAAGACTGAATCTAGACAATAAAGAGAAAAGCAGCAATAGCAAAGTCATTGTTGAAAGGAAAGACAATAATGGTGAAACCGACAAGATAGATACTTATCATATCATCAATAGTCCCCTTGAAAATCAACTGATACGAAATTATTTGAAGAATTGAATCATAAACCTACAGATAAAATGCTTATAGTTAATAAAACAGCACTAAAACAAGACAGAGAACTTGTGAAAGAAATCGTCGCCATTCAACTTATCATATAATTTTGCGGACATGAATGTCCGTGAAGTCATGTGATAGAGTTAAATAGCATACTAAATGGCATGTTGAATAGCACTATTCAAATACCATTCACATGACTTTACAGACATTCATGTTCGTGAAATTATATGATAAGTTGAATGGCATGCCGAATGGCATTCGAATCGTGCTATTCGACATGTCAAAATTTTTATTTTGGGCAGTGCCCAAGAACGTTTTAAGTTGGTTATCACCATCAAAATCAACAACTGGGATTAGAATTAAAAGGTTTAAATAAAATAAACACGATAATCAATGAAACAGAAAAATAACTATAAAAGGTGTGAAGAATCACATTGTAAACGGGGGTTTGGGCACCTACAGGAGTTATTTTTTTATTTCTCTATTTTTATCCTATTATTATTTTATTACTATTAGTATAATGAAGTTAGAATAGAATAGTAAGCAAAAACGACTATCTTTACTAAGAATAGAACTTACGTACAAGGTTCGTTCAAATTTGAACAAATTAGTATAAGCCCTCTTTAGCTCGTTCAATTTTGTACAAAGGCGATCATTCGAATTTGTACGAAGCAGAATAATCAAATTCATTCAATTTCGAACAAATTCTATTCACACAAATTCGCACAGCGTAGTTTGCCTTAAAATAAAAAATGTGTAGTTAGTATAATTCTTATATAAAAAGAATATAGTAAAAAGAAGTTTCAATAACAAACACAGCCCTCATGTAATTAGTAGTGGTCTAAAAGTAAACAAGACCAATCTTTTCGCTTCAATAAAAACTAACTCAGTCGAGTTCTTAACTTCGAAAATATTAGTAGAAGTTGGTTCTCCAGTAGTTATTTCCTTGGATCATTAAGTTATACATAATAAATTGTCTTTCATAAAATATTCGTATCCCCGTGATACCTCTAAAAGTCGTTATTCTTAAATAGAAAGAGAGAGAGAACTATTAAATTAGTAATCAGATCCCTTATAAATACGAAAATAAATTAAACTCTGATCAAATTTTGTCATTATTGACTTTGAGTCTTGTGACATGTGACCCGTGATAGAGAAATTTCGAAAAGCAATAAGAAAATAGAACTGTTAGTATCAGCTTATATGCCATACGTCAAGTAAACTCTCAAAAGAAATAAAAGAAGACTCAACTTGACCTGGGTATTGTTTCTACTAGCCCTAAGCACCCGAAAACTCGGACCAAATCTCACCACGCCTCAATCACAGCCTTTCAATTTTGGAGTTTCAGTTTTGTCATTACCTTTATTAGTTTATAGATTATAGTATTTAGTTATGTTTTTTTTGTTAGTTAGTTATAGATTATTAGTTTCCACTTTTAAAATGTTCGTTCCCAAGAATCAACCTGTATAGAGTTTTCTGATGAAAAGATAGAATACAGAGAAGACCAGAATATAATTAGTAAGACACCAAAAGAACAAGATACTAATACCAAAAAGCAAGTTAAGAAAACAAATACTTATCTAACATCAACAGAGTATCTTCAAAAGTCACTCAACCAGCCTACTATAAAAGACTATGATGGAATGTCTTCGATGCTTGATCAAAAGATGTTCGTAGATCTTGATAACTCCTTAAAGGAGAATAAAGATATTAATATAATATTAAAATTAAATAAGAACCAAATAATTAAGAATTGTCTCAATCCAAAGAGTTTGATACTCATATTTCTAAAGACCATAATATCAGTAACTCTCAAGAGTGTCCTCAGCTGTATCCAGCTACTTAGAACCCAAGAATTGATAAATCCTTATACTGGGCTTCAATTTCCTGATGTTTTTAATAGAACGCCAGATCTAGACATAACTAGTAAAGAATCAGAACAAAGATCTCAAATACATAGTAAAGTCCTTGTCTGCAATTCAAGTGATGAGCAAGACATAAGTAAGAAACAAATCAAGTGTAAGCTCGAGAGTAAGAGATTTCATGACCATAGTAAAGATCTAAAAGATCTTGAAAGGTCTAAACCTCAGAAAGATCACAAGAGAAGGCTCAATGTATTGAGAAAGTCTAGTAACGACTATAAAAGCTAAAAGATCTCAAAGCCGGCACAACTAAAGCTAAAGCTTCGACAGCTCGTTGAATAGAAAAAACTTTTTATAGATTTTTTTTAGAAGGCATAGCGAAGATTATAAGAAATATTAAGAGTACGCTCAAGCACTCGGCACAAGCTATGCATAATGAGCTCTTGAAATAGAAAATTCCAAAACCTTCGTTACATGAATCGTATTAATCAAATAACAAATCAAATCAAATCAAATACAAATTAGCTTTATATTTGATTCGATTTGATTTGATCAAATTTAAATTAATTTAATATTTGATTTGAATAAATCAAATCAAATTCAAATTAATCTAATATTTGATTTGATTTGAGTTTGCGGAACCCTATACATGGCAAACCAAATTGCAGATACTTAAAGATATTTCAGATAAGCTAGATAACATTCACAAATGTGTATACATTCATACTGATTTTCATAGTGGTAATATTTTGTAAGACCAACAATCTTATATCGCAGATCTAGGATTGTCTAAAAAGAAAAATGATAACAATTCAGAAAGTGAAACTTATAATGTCATGCCCTATGTTCTTCCTGAAGTTTTAGCAGAAAAACAGCAATTTATACAAGCGGCAGATATTTATGGGTTTGGTATTATTATAGCAAAAATGTCAAACGGACAAAGACCTTTTGATGGTTATAAATTCAACCTAAAACTTGCAGTCAAAATTTGCAAAGGATTGTGACTGGAGTTTGCACCGTTAAACCATACTCTACATACTTTGTACTCTGTTCCTGGTATTGCTAAATTAATGCGAACAAGAATGCTAAATATAAATTAAGTAACAAAGCAACTTAGGGTAATCTTGAGTTATCATCACTACGAAATGCATAGTTAGTAGCACTCAACCCAATATCTTTACAGATAATCCAGGTAAAATATCTTGCGAAACTCGATATTATTGAGAATAGTCATGTGAATAACTTCTAGCATATTAGATTTACTTTCTATTAAATAACAAAATCAAAATTTAGTTAGCTATAAGATTACCGGGTATTATTGGGCCTGTATGGGCTTTTTTATCAGGCCCAAACCCGGCCCGGTAGTTTTAGCGGGCCTGGCCCAAGCCTGGCCCAAATTGTAATAGGCTCAAAAATATGGGCCCAAACTGGGCCCAAGCCTGGCCTGGCCCACAAATTTCCAGGTTTAGCCCGGCCCATTCCGGACCCTAGTTGCCGGCTGGAAGTAAGGAAGGAACTAATGAAGAATCTGGGTCTGAATGCGACAAGAAGTATATAATGGATGACTAATTAGAAAGGTTGTGCTTAAGATACGAATCAGGTTACGGCAGCACCCCAAAAGTTGGCTTGAGATACAAACCTGATGGTGGCAATACAACAGGTACTAGTTAGGAAGAAGTTACCGAACATGCAAGTGAGCGCATATGTGGGACATGTACCACTCTGTTAGGTTTACTACAAGGATAAATGCCTCCCAAATTAGGTTAATGGCTAAAGTCTTAGGGTCTTTAACAGTAAATTATTTTGTAAAGAGTATATTAGGAGGAAACATGTGATGTCGGTTGAAGCCAAAGAGTTTAAATTGGTACCCCAGGACCCCGAAAAACTCTGATGCAACTCATATGTTACCAAAAAAGGAAATTTTGCATAGAAAATCATCAAACATTGCTTTTTTATATAGTAAATTTTTAA